CAACTTCTAGAAGCAAGTTGTTCCAGTGATTAATTGTTCTGTCAGGAAATTTCTCCTTAGTTCTAAGTTGCTTCATTCCTTGATTAGTTTCCACCCATTACTTCTTGTCCTGCCCTACCAAAGAATCATAGAATTATAGATCAGGAGCTTTGGAGAATAGCTTGACTCCATTTTCTTTGTGGTAGCCACTGAGATATTGCAACACTGCTATCATGTCTCCCCTAGTCCTTCTTTTCTGGTAAAGCTTATGATGTAATGAAGTTGTTGAATGCAAGATTGACTAAATGAAATGCCAATAAGTATTGCTGCACCTGGTATGAAATCAAGAAGCTTGATGCATCCATGTGATCCCTTACATCCTTTCTGCACTCCAAACAATTTTAATCCAAAATGATAAATTTGCAGGCTCTGACTCCCAAAAGCTTACTCATTCTTATGATTGTTAAACAGAAATAAGAGAGAATTGACAATATTTTAAAAATTATTGATGCTCTTACAATCTGCTGTTTTGTTTGTTTCCAATAAAAATTTACCAGATTCCAATTGATGCCACTAGTTCCGTGTTGGAAAACTTATAGCACATGTGCCAGAAGTGGCATGCAGAGCCATCTCTCTGGGCACACCAGCCATCGCCCGTTGCTCTTCTGGGTTCTGGCGCACACATGCACGCCAGCCAGCTTTTCTTTGTGTGCACAGGAGAGCCGGAAATTGGAAGAGTAGTTTCCTGGCTTCCAGTTTCTGGTGCTCCTATGCGTGCGCACTGGGGAGCTTCTCTTTCAGTTTCCGATGTTCCCCCACACCATGTCCACTCCTGTTTTGGCACTCAATGCCGAAAAGGTTCGCCAACACTGCACTAGTCCTATTATGGATGATGTCTTCAATAGATCAAAAGTTTCATGAGGGTCCTTATGTAAAACTTCTGTTGGAAAAACATACAATCGAACAATATGCCTTTAATTACCCACTGCACACAATTAAGTTTTAAATGTATTGTGCCTATTCTTTATGTTTGTATTAGGAGCCATGACAAACCAATGAACACACCTACTTTACAAAGCAGGAGAACAAGGAGAATAAGAACTTGAAAAAGAGTCTATAGTATTATACCACAAGAAAAATGTAGGCCAATTACAATGAAACAAAGTGAAAATTACAACCAACTAATACAGTATATTTTTCTTTTATAGAGGACCAGTATAAATATTTTAGACCTCATGTTTGCCTAAGATTTAGCACTTTTTCAATACACATAGCACATAACCAACTATCAAAAATATATTTGAAACAGATTGTATTTATATGGGTGAGTTAAAAATTTCCTAGCTAGAAACAAAGAAAAAAATCCATTAGAATTACATTATGCTAGAGCAGGGATGTCAAACTTGCGTCATCATGGCGTCATCACGTGATTTATCATGACTTTTTTCCCTTTGTTAACTGGGCATGGGTGTGGCCAGTGCATGACACATCCGACCCACACCCCACGAGTTTGACAGTTCTGCACTAGAGCATTTTAAAAACTGAGCATTTTTAAAAGCAACTTTAAAACATTACCAATGTTTTTCACTGTTTCTTCTTGTACTATTCGGGTACCATTTTTAAAAATACTGTGGTCATCTGGTGATTCTAGCCAATGAGGAAGCTGAATAATGAGCATGTATGCATAATCTGCACCCATTTAAATGTACATCCAGTTGTACACTGAACTAATGTTTGTCACGCTGTAATATCTTCAATCTCACACAATTGTATAGGGGAAAAAATCTGTGGTAATCTGCAATGGTGAATTAGGAATTAGCACCTGTGAATCCATTAATCTGCTATCAGATAACTGAAAGAAGCTTAGAAGGAAATATATCACATTCAAAATGATAACTAAAAATGGTATATTTCTGTCTATGTGATTATATTTAACTATCAAGAAGTCTTGCTTTGTAATTAATCCATAATTGAAATAGCTTTTTCTGCAGCAATACTGAAGTAACAGGATTTGGGGCTGAGCCAAAGGCCTGTCTTAATGAGAGCTCAATACTACTCTCAAGCTTTGCAATTTCCCATTGCCAGATGTTTTCAAAAGCTGCCTGGGTTCAGTTGTGGTATATTTAAAGCTCAGTTGTGGTGTATCTAAAACTATCCCTTTTGAAAATGTTGTTACTCTGTGGAGCTTGTGGGTAATCTGTTTATCCATTTGCATATCTCTTTCTTCACCTCACCTCCCAGCTCCTGACCATAACAGTTTTTGCTCGAGGTGTCAAACTGGCGTCCCACAGGTCTGATGTGTCACATGCAGGCCATGGCCACCCTGGCTCAGCAAAGGAAAAAAAATTCACAATACATCACATGATGCGATCCAAGACTTCTTGGAAACTTGGAGAAAGACAGTGATTATGTGAAATCCTTGATTCTTGGTCTCAGTATTTTGAAGCTGGCAGAAATAATAGCAGATTATCTTCAAACTGCTTTTGAGTAAAAATAGTGACGCTTTATTTTTCAAAGGAGTTTTTTTCTGAGAAAATTTCCCAGATTATTTTTTTTTCTTACATTTTGCCCACCCAGTCCACCAAAGAAAGCAGTCCTATCTGAATATATAAATCTCCATTCTTCATTAAAAGTTGCCATATCCTCTCACGGTATCAACCAAACAAACTTTAAAAATTGTGGAGGATACAAAATGGTGACTAAATTGCCAAAACTTTGTTATAGGGCTCCTTTAGAAACCAAAATATCTTACTAATACGGTGATCCGCATATTTGGAAGATTGGTGAGAATTTTCTTCTTTAATTGAAGAAATTCTGTGAAAGGATTCCTCAGTTTCTGTACCCAGAAAGAGAATGGATAATTTCAAAGAGATGTGTTTGCACAGCTCTATTACAAATTATAGGCTTTCCACAGTAATAGTGAATTCTCAAAACTATAAACCAAATCTGGATTGTAAAATGAAATATCAAGAGTATCCAATTACTGATTCTTAGGGATTGATAGAATGCCATAGAATCCAGAATGTCATAACATGAAATTAAAGCCAGAATTCCACCTGAACTATATTTAATTCACTGGAACTCTGTTTCATCTGGTTGTTCCAGAGGTTTATTTCTCTTTATTAAGAAATTAAGAAATGTTTTTCTTCCCTAAAGTTAATGACTAAGTACTGGGCATTGGCTATTTAACTGAAAGAAGATCATTGCTATATGGGTAGGAGGGAAATCCAATTTCTGCATGGAATTGTTTGAATTCATGTCTTTTTAGTCTTAAATGTCTAAATTGCATGGGGTTAGTGGTGAGGGAGAGAGTGTTTGGTTTCCTTCATTCTATAGGTGGGGGGGGGGGGGGGGGAGAAACCAGCACTTTCTCTTAAGGATTCTTTTACTCAAATAAACCACATCTCTTAGGGTAGATGGGATCTATGGGGCTCTTGTTAACTCAAGCCAGTTCCCTGGCTAGAGAGTTGTTCTTTGTTCAAGATATCATGGTCAAATGGAACCAGAAAAATGAAACCTTAGAAGATTGTGAGGCTTTCTAAGGTAACTTATATGTGTATCAAGCAAATTTGGGATAGGAGGTTTTGATCTCTCCTGCTGACCTTTGCTACTGAGTTAGTGAAACTCTTGATTATCTAAAACCACTCTTTGATAGCCCAGCCTTTATTGTAGCCATCCCTATCATTGACATTTTGCCAGATATCAAAAGCATTCTAGTTCCCTATTGTTTAAATACAGCATAGATAGTTATGGTATATTGTATCAAGAGTATATTTTATGTAATCACAGTAATTATATATAGCCTCTTCAGAGTTCAAGTCAAGTTGATCTTAATATTAGATGGAATCAAGCAGTAGTCACAGTTGACAGAGGCCTGGGGAAGGACAAAAATGAGATATGGAAAAGTTAAGGATACTGTTTATTTCCCTTTACATCAGACCATCAGTGCTCATCTTCTATTCATGGAATCGTGAAAGGCATGATTGCCTGCGAATAAAATGTCTCAGGCTCAAGACAGCTTTTACCAAAAAAAAAAAAATTTAAAACCAACAATACTGTACCAGGATACTATATATTCCAATCTTAAATAATTTCATAAACCAACTTCCTGCAACAACCTACTCTTTAACTTTTGGAGAAAAAATCAGTTATACTACAACACATCTCAATTGAATAACTTAGGAATAAGCTACAATAAACAGGAACTACAAGAAAACAGATTCAAAAACTATAAATCTATTGAATGAAGTAGATAGGAAGTCCTTTTTGAAATAGTTACGCTGAAAATACAACCTTTGTATTATGTG